TAATAATAATAATAATAATAATAATAATAATAATAATAATAATAATACAACCATATAACATGGGTAAATATATTTAGAAATAAGACAATACTGTGAGAATTAGGTGTTCAGCAGAGTGGATAGCACGAGGGAAAAACCTATCCCTGTGTCTAGTTATTTTGGCATGCAATGGTGCCCTATGGGGAGGAGTTGAAACCGTTTATGTCCAGGATGTGAGGGGTGTGTAGATATTTTCTCAGCCCTCCTTCTGACCCATGCAATATACAGGTCTTCAATGGAGGGCAGGCTGTTTGCAATTGTTTTTTTTCTGCAGTCCTACTACCGTATTTCTCCAACAATATGGCCTCCCCGAATAGGAAGTCCCAGCATGTTTTATAGGCATAAAATGAAATTAAGCCCCTCCCCCCAAATTAAGGTCTATATTAAACATGCGAAATGGGGGGAAACGGTGGGGGGCTTGCTGTTAGGAGTGCCCCACGGGCAGCCATGCCTTGCTACCAACCTCCCTACTGTCACCAAGTACTTTTGCTGCACACCCGGATAGGGTGCTGTCTGCGTTGATCTCAGCGTTGGTGGGGCACTTCGTATCGGGAGACCTTCCGCCACCGTTGTTTTCCCTTCTCCCCGTGCTGCTGCGGCTTTTGGAGCAACACCACGGCGTTTGGCGCAGCCACGCAGCATTTGGCGCAGCCACGCACAGCCAGCTAGGGCTCCTCCCTGCAACCGGAGCCTGGTGGAGACACTCAGCTTCAGGCGCTCCTCTCACTGCCTTCCCGGCCATTGTTTGAAGGCAAAGCCCATTCTTTTAAAAACGACGCCCTACTACCAGTACGACAAAGCCTCCCCTGCCTGAGAGGGCAGCCCAACCCCACGTGGGGAGGTGAATCTCCTGGGGCCGCAGCGCAGGATTGGCCCACCCCAGGAGAAGCACCCAGCCACCATCCCTGCCTGGCGCTGGGCAGAGCGTGAAGAGCTTTGCCTGGGGTGCCCAGAACAGCTGACAGGCGGGCCCTCCTGCCCGGCGGTGGAGCTCTGGCCAAGGCAGCGAGCACCTCCCTGCCGGGCCCTCCGCTCATCCCACCAGGGCTGTGCTGGAGCCGGGTGGGCTGGGCAGAGCCAGAAAAGCGAGCCACGGGTGCGCGTCCACCTGCCGGGCTGACCCGGGAGAGGCTGCCCGAGGCAGTGATAGCGCCCACCTGTCTGTGGACAGGGAGGCGAGGCAATGGCAGCGCTGCTTCCCTGGCCGGAGGGTCCGGCGGAGAGAGCCCGAAACCGCCTGTCCTTTCCACCCCTGGCCCAGCCCGTCCCCATCCCCAGGCATCTCCAAATGTGCCGGCAGCTCCAAACGCTGCAGCGGCACGTGCATCAGGCAGAGGCTCGGCTCAGAGAATGCGGGACAGGCTGTCGCCTTGCCTCCCTGTCCACGGATGGGTGGGCGCTATCACTGCCTCCGGTGGCCTCTCCCGGTGGCCCCTTCTGGGTCAGGCTGGAGGGACTTGGGAAGCCAAGCTCGGGTTATCCCGGCTCTTTCGCTTGGCAGGCGGGTGCGCACCCGCGGCTCGCTTTCCCGGCTCTGCCCAGCCTGCCCAGCTCCAGTGCGGCCCTGGCGGAGGGTCCAGCGGAGGGCCCAGCGGGGAGGCGCTCACTGCCTTGGCCAGAGCTCCACCGCCGGGCAGGAGGGCCCACCTGTCAGCTGTGCTGGGCACCCTCTTTGCGCTGTGCCCAGCACCAGGCAGGGATGGCGGCTGGGTGCTTCTCCCGGGGTGGGCCGATCCTGTGCTGCGGCCCGGGAGATTCGTCTCCCCACATGTGGTTGGGCTGCCCTCTCATACCGGTAGTAGGGCATCATTTTTAAAAGAATGGGCTTTGCCTCGAACAATGCCAGAGAAGGCAGTGACAGGAGCGCCTGAAGCTGAGTGTCTCTGCCGGGCTCCGGTTGCAGGGAGGAGCCCTGGCCAGCCCCACGTGGCTGTGCCAAATGCCGCGTGGCTGCGCCAAATGCTGCGACGTTGCTCCAAACGCCGCGGCAACACAAGGAGAAGGGAAAGCAACGGTGGCGGAAGGTCTCCCGATAGGAAGTGTCCCACCAACGCTGAGGTCAACATCCAAGCTGTCGCCGTCCACCCACCCGAGGATGCAAGGGGGGGAATTAAGTCACCCCCAAAAAGACGGCCTAGCCATTTTTTCGGGGGTCAAAAAAATAAATAAGGCCCAGCCTTATTTTGTGAGAAACACGGTATCTGTTGGATTCTATACCTGACCTTTTTGGTTTCTATACCAAACCAGACAGTTATAGAAGTACAAATGACAGATTCAATAATTCCTCTGTAGAATTGTATCAACAGCTCCTGGGGCAGGCTGAACTTCCTGAGTTGATGGAAGAACATTTGTGCCCTTTTTGTTGTGCCTTTTTAAAGATGGTTCTAATGTTAAGAGTCCATTTCAAGTCCTGGGAGATTATGGACCCAAAACTTTGCAGGATTCTAGAATAGAAAGGCTCCTCCTAAAATTCATAATCTCATCTATAGTTTTAACCATGTTCAGCTCCAGGTTGTTCCAGCTGCACCATAGGCCAGTTGTTCAACCTCCCACCTATATGCAGACACATCACTGTCTAGAATGAGACCAATGATTGTTGTACCATCTGCAAACTTCAGTACTTTAATCCCTAGAGATGCAGTCATTGGAGATGCAGTCATCTGTTTGTGATAGGAAATACCATGTAATGTAGGTTTCTTATTAATGGCACATTTGCTGCTGGACTACTATGTTTAGACAGTGATTAAGATTTTAAGAATATAAGGAAAAACATGCTTGTTTAAAGGAAAAACCAGCTGAATCAGTTCCCACAATGGCAAACTAGCTGTATATTTGGAAACCAATAGATAAAATTTGAGCCCAATCATATTGGAGCACTGTTGTTCCTCAGCAACTAACATTCATAGACATTTTCTCATCAGGAATGCAACTTAATGAAGCTCCCAGTCTGAACTGGTCCCGAGAAGACATTCTCCACCTTTGATATCTTGAATGTGAAGACCTAGGTCAACCTCTTCTTTTGTCCAGTGCTATCTATTGCTGAAAAATGTGTAATTTCTATTAAATGTTCCCTTCAAAGCAAAAACGTCTAAGCGCATGCAATAGAAATAAATTGATCAAGGGATTGAGGCTTTTGAAATATTTTTCAATATCATTTTCCAGTTTCTTACTTTTAGACAAAGCTTTCATCTCTCAAATAGCAAGCAGAGAACCTTGCAAAGTGGTGCATGGATATGCATATTGGAGAGGAAGCAGAGATGCTTTTGATCCCAGGATAAATAGTCTTTGATCACAAGGGTGTTTTGATCTAGAACTAGCCATCTTTTAACTCAGAAACAAAGCACCTTGCTACACAGGGTCAAAAATCCCCAGCTAACATTTACTGTTTCCAATGGCGAACATGAACAGTTTTCTAGAAAGTTTACAAGGCAAACATAAATGTGTTTCTTCTCAGTATCTGAGAAATACACTCATCTTGGTGATATTTAGGTATTTTCACTCTAACATATTCAAATGCAGAATTCTGACAGATGTGGTGGAAAAACAGGTCTGTTAAGGAAGAATGAGCACCTTGGGAGGAAACTTGAAGGTTGCTTCCAGTCTGTAGGCCACAAATGGCCTGCTGGTTCATTTTTCATAGCCTACATATGCTTGATACATTCATACTATTTCCAACAGTAGGCATGAGCTTGCTTTCTTACTTCTCAGTACTTTATTCACAGCCTTCCATCCAAGAGTTTGAGGTTTTTCATGGAAATGGGTGTGGATAGGTGAACTGAAGTTGTGAACACCAAGCAGGCAGGCAGGCAGGCAGGCAGGCAGGTGAGTAAGTAGGCAGGCAGGTATCACTTTTTTCCTCTCCCTGGATTTGTCTTTCTCTGTCAAGCTAGACACAGTGAAATGAAGCCACTATTCGGCTACTTGGGTTGCAACATAACCCAAGGACTGGGTTACTTGTGGTATGTTCCCAAGTAGGGTTATTGGTGAAGGAGAATGGAAACATTGAGCAATAAGTTCCACTTTTGGTTCCCCCATACAGATGTCATTGAGATTTGGGAGGTGGGAGGGAATAAAGCTATCATGTGAAAAAGTTCTATTCTCCCCAAAAGAAAGGGGAGAAAAACCAAGCAAACAATAAGAAACTAGCAGCACCATCCTAAAAGGCCTTTCCACACTAAGGGAGAAGTGGCCTGGAAGCTTCTACTAATGAAAGGACCATGGTGTAGTTCGGGTGCTTTTTGGGGGAGTGGGGTGGGCAGGTTGTT